CCACTTTCTTATTTGCGATCTATTGATTTTTTTTCGTCCTTCACGGAAGCCGTTTGCAAATTATTGCTCGTTGATTACAGGTACGAGATGTTCGCACAAACCTTACAGCAACAGCGAGGTTTCGGCAATAATTTCAAGTTCCCTGGCGAGCAGCCGTCGGCTCCTAACCAGCCATCAGGTGTCCCAGTTGGAGGAAATGACGATGATGACCTCTATAGTTAAATTTCTTTGCAATCATTGTCAATATACAACATATAACTTATTTATTTTCATTTCTCTCCACTCCTGCAATTACCTACTAAAATACTTCATACGCCTGTTCTGGCAGTTTCTCTCTTTTGCTTGATCAGTAATTGTTTTCCAATGTTGGATGTCGAGGTATCACCCACGGGCGTTCTAGAAAATTGGTGATGCTGATGGTTGCATGTATTGTAAATTGAAGTGTGCAGTTTCGTTTAATTAATCGGTCATTTCACCTATTCGATGTTTACAATTTAGAACCTTCGGGACATGTTTGGGCCAAGTATTTATCAAACGGTAGTTTAACGACGGTCTTCATTTAAATTTAAAATGATGCACTTTTCGGTGCCTCATCCAATAGTACGGTTTAAAAATGCTGAGAATTGATATAGAAGGAGGTGATGGCGACATAAGGCGAAATGCCATATTATAGCGAGGCTCACCTTAAAAAAGGAAATAGCCGTGCTACACCCATAGGAGTAATCCCACCTTTGTAAATCATTTGAAGATAAAAATCTGTAAAAGGAGATAATGCTGCCCATCAAGTCCTTGTTGGTTAATCCTATTTTGTAGGGAAGATTCCTCCTACGTAGGCTAGAGCGCTGGAGCTTTTGAGAACTGGAAGTTCGGTAAAGGCTCGGTTATCTTACCCAATGCATTGATGGTGAAAGCGTTTACGAACCACGCTGGTTGACGGTGAAATGAGCAGGTTGAAAAGACCGTTGTTGGAAATTTTCAGAGAGGACTGGGCGGGACTCGATGAAACGGGTATGGTAAAGCTTTTTTAGAACATTTGGAGGGCTCTGAGCTGTAAATGCAGGCGGGGAAGGAGATCTTGGTGCAGAGACGGATGTACACAAAATCATGAGAAACTTGCGCAATCACAAAATTTTCATGAAACTGTTCTAATCATCATTAGGTGTATGGAAGGATTACAGGAGGGTTCAGTGATTCTGCATTGGTACTCCATTTGGCACAGCATGGTTCAGCCATTTGATAGCTATTCCTTTGCAAAAAATTGGGATTACTGCAGTCAGCACGAATTATTGTAACGAGTGCCTTTTCAATATTAAGCAAAAGCAGGAGGTGACAATTTTCTGCTCTTCGGAGTTTTGTTAAATACGACCACTGAAATCCGTATGGTTCTGAGCATTGTGCGACCTTTACCTTCATATTTTCACAAAAAGAGCGCGCAGACGATATTATTTGTAAGAAATATTAGGTTGAGACATGAGCAATGTACAGTTTTGAGACCGTCATGAATTTTCTGAACGCAAAAACAAGTAAAAATCAATAGCTGAAGCTTTCAGCCTCGCGGTCATTGCCGATATCGGCTAAACAACACGTTATACGTGTGAGTGCTGAAAGCTATGGTACGTATACCATGAAAAGCTGAGTTGGAATGAAATGGTGCCCCGGTAGCGTAACTGGTAGCGCACTTGCCCGGAAAGCGAGAGGTGCGGGTTCTAGTCCCGCCTGGGGGAAAGTTTTGTTCACAACCCAGCATTCTTGTGAAACATTCGCAAGGCGAACTGTGGGCAAACACAGCAGTTAACAATCAAAAACAAGTCGAATTGAAACCGCTGAATCTGGGGGAGGCAGACAAAACGATTGGTAGGATAGGGTTCTGTGTAGGGTGAAATGTTTTTTGTAAATTAAAAGGCCACAAAGAACTGCTATTGATGGCACTCCGATGACCAAATGAAGTTGTTTTCCGAGTTGTTTGCCAAAATAAATCGTGTTTTTTCGTTCTTCTCATTCTTAAGTGGGTCGCGACTCTCAAGCTAGCGATTTGTGGAGGACTTACGATCAGACCAGTGTTCTTTCCTTGAATGTTTTCATTGATTGCTTTCCGCCGAAGTTTCCTCCCAGTGCTCATCGGTGTCGTGGTTAGCAGAAATCGTCATCACGTTAGCTGTGCGAATAGCGAGCTTACCTTTAGCTTAGCGAATATTACTATGCAGAAATATGCACTTGTAAGCTTCCAATTTTAATCAAACCGTGTGCTCCACACGGAACGCTAGAGCGAACTATGCGCCTGACCACTTTGAACTTAACCTGAAGGGGCACTGTATGGAATTGGCATGTTTGTCATGGATGTGATGGTTTGTCACATCCACCGTTCATTTAGGAAATCTTCTCATGGCTTCTATTTTTTGGACACGATTCTATGTAGGATGGATGCTCGATTATTTTCAGATCTCGCACACTCTGAGGATCGTACGCGTTGCTAGGCTAAGGTGATTGTTCTTGGTGACCTCCTATAAAGGTACAATCTGTGACTATCTGTTCCGTAAAACCTTGCGCTATAAAGGGGAATGGTTTGGAAGTGAAATCACCCATTGCTAGATTCGCGACAAAAATTTGCAAAGCCAGCGCCATATTCCAAAGACTTACGACTGACTCCCCCCAGTACCCGGGACTTCGCCCATTGACTAAAGTTAGCACGTGGCAAATGAGTTGTGCACATAATCAATCACAAGGGGGCAAGAAATTTGGAGAATTTCACCAGTATCGGTGAGTACAACAAGGAAAACGTGTACCTTGCCTTTGAGGGGTGGGGTAAGGAGTCGCGACAGGGCCCCTCCTTCAATAATTGGTCTTGGGAGAGTCTTCAGTGAGATCTCCCTCCCCCCCCCCCACTCCACCAACACCGACCTCCTCCATCACCCCACAGATGCTTCTATAGCATTCGATGTCAACCATAAAACGAATCAACTCCGTCCATTACGCTGCCAACTGCGAGCAAAATATGTATAGTCCATGAAACGGCAAATTTTCGAATTTCGCCCATATTTTGTGCTTCACTTTCGAAGTTTCCGTCATTTTCATCAGAAAAAAGACCGCGATACGATCTTCTCTAGAACTGCGACCCACTCAACTTCCTCTGATACGACTCCCTGTTCACACTTTCCAAAGAGATACCTGTCTCGGTCAACTCCTGATACGACCAAACCTTTCAAAATCGCAAATACGGGCCAGCCTCACCCTATAACTATTTTTTTTCGTACTAAACTCATATTTCGAAAGTCAATGGTTCAATTAAAAGCCTTTTTTCACGGGTTTCGAAGCTATTAGGTCGTCTCGAAACCTCGTGCGTATTTTGAACATTTCTTTGAACCTGTTCTATTTCAAGCACATGCACTATCTATCATAAGTATGTGTACCATCACTATCAGTGACTTGTTACCAATCATCCAATCGAAGAGTGGCCACGTAACTCTCATAAGGCTAGAAGTTACGATCTGAAAAGGCTGTGAGGTCGATTTTGAGATACCCATGGAATCGTATTTTTTGTCGTCTCGTAATCATTTTCTGAGCAGAGAGCAGGATCTTTCGAAAAGAAGGCTGACGACGCTGCACGTTGGAATTAATTACCCTAATTTCCGGTGTATAAGCCCGCGCCGATTTCACGTAAAACCACCCCCGCTCGTGCAGTGTAACTTTGTACACCTTAGAAACCACCGCAAATTTGCCTATAGAGGTAAGTCGATGCCCTGATCACGAAAATGACTTTCATTTTCAGCGCTGGCGCCATCTGGCGCCAGTTGGCGCCACCTTGTCACGACCCTTGTTTTCGCCAAAATCGGTGTAAACTTCAGTATAGGGGTTATTTGGGACCCTGATTACGAATATGACATTCATTATAGGCGCTGGCGCTGTTTGACGCCTATTTTCTGCTCGTCTGCGCTCTCCAACCGAGACATGTGCACTAAACAACGTTAACGCCAAAAACGAATGTCATATTCGTAATCAGGGTCCCAAATAACCCCTATACTGAAGTTTACACCGATTTTGGCGAAAACAAGGGTCGTGACAAGGTGGCGCCAACTGGCGCCAGATGCCGCCACCGCTAAAAACGAATGTCGTTTTCGTGATCAGCATATCGAATTACCCCTATGGGCATGTTACGGTTGACTCTAGATGTACTCAAGTACACTGCACCAGTGGAGGTGTTTTTACATGATACTAGCGGCGGGCTTATACACCGAAAAATATGATTTCAATTCGAAATCATTTCTGAGCAGGAAGAGCAGACTCTTTCGAAAGAAGGCTGATCACCGCTGCACGTTGGACATGGATAGTAATTTTTTGCAAATCTTCGATGTCTAGATTCGCGTCATTTTCGAAACGTGTGTCTCGATTGACGTGGAGCGGACATACTTTTTTTGAGTTTTGAAGACGGTTGCTGGGGTTTCGCCGTGATCCTGCGCCGTTAGTCACACTAGTTTTGACTGACTTCACGAGGGGGAGCAAGTGGTTAACACGAAAACGTTCCAACAAAGGTAGAGCATTACCTTGCGATGAATGTGCCCAGTTTCCACTTTCTTTCGCTCGATCCAACCACTGCGGCTTCTGAGTGTCAACAGCAGTAGTGGCTTTGTTCAATCAGTGAGTGCAGGTGGAGTAGGAAACAAATTATAGTCGGAACTCGCACTCCTGTCATCAGTGGAATTTATGGAATTCAGGGAATCTTTGGCAAAGCTTCAGCCCTTTTACGAAGAAGAGAGAACCGCTACGAGGGTGTGCATCTGACAAGGGAGGTCTTTCAGGGCAAGTGCGCTTTTTGGAAACGGTTTCTTGCATATTGTAGGGACGCATGTATGGACCACAAAACCATGTTTCGTTTTCGCTGAACGGTTTTAGTAGTACCAAAAAAAGTGGTGAATGATACCTTGATGGTTCGATCCCCCGCGGCGACTAAATTTTGCAATCAAGGTTGGCGGCCACTTGTTGGCTTCAAAATGGTCCTGACGATGAATTTGACATCTGATTTTGATATTTAGCGCGATTTGGCACCAACCGTAGGCGCCAACCCAAATGCAAAATTTAGTCGCCACGGGGGATCGAACCTTAACAGTACCTTATGCTTCTTTTTTGGTACTGCTATAACCGTTCAGCGAAAATGAAACATGGTTTTGTGTTCCCTACATGCGTCCCTACAATATGCAAAAACCGTTTTGAAAAAGCGTGGCTTGCCC